GTGATAATATCAATAAAACTCTTGTAGTTGGCAAAATACAAAATTCAGATCAATTAGTAGGAGGATATAACCCACTTAATTGGAATTTAAACAATGGAGAGGATACATTTAAAAATACAACTGAAAGTTTTATTTTTAATATTGGTAATAGAAATAATATTAATTCTGCACAATTTAGTTATGTTGTAAAGAATTATCATTGTGCAATTCAATGTCATACTGGAAATTTAGCTATATTTGGTGGTTGTGATCTTCTTTTTAGGCCAGGAGGTGAAATTAGTAGGCATGTTCCTGTATCTAAGGGGTTTCTTTACAAACCTAGTTATAATAACATTAATATAGTATGTGGTAGTAGATATGATGAATTAGAAGTGTTTCAAATAATTGATAAAAAATAAAATGATTAATAGTGTATTTTACTATTTTAGCTAATATGGATGTTTTTTAGTTATTATTTTAAAGGCAATTTATTTATATATTTTTTTATTTACATCATATTAATAAATATAAAATTATAAGTTGTGAGATCGAAATCCACATCTCACAGTAAATCTCAATATTTTATTTATAATATTATTTGACTTAAATTTATACAGATATGATTGGAATGCTCCTTGATATTTCCCAATCTCAATTGCAATTGCTTTTCTTGTTTGTGTTATTAATAGTTCTTTGTCTATTAATCCTGAGGAAGTAATTTTGTTCTTCCTTTCCAGTAACGTTTTCTCTGCAGTTCTTTGTTATCTGCCTGAGCCAATATATTTGTAATGTCCACTTTAGTACATTGGGCTTTACTCTTTTGATACTTTAGCCTCAGTTTGTTGGACTTTGCTTTGTTGTATATTTTAAAGATGGGAGCCGCAATTAGCCACAATTCAATTTTAATATGCCATAATTAATTCAGGAGCCATCTTTATTATATTTGGCTCAGTTTCTTTAATGACTTCACCCAGCTAGTGTTTCATTATTTTTAGGCTTTGACCCAAGCTTGAATAAAAATAAAGAAAATAAAAATAAAATAATTAAACATGTACAACTATATTTACCAAAGGCGTCCCCTCTGGTAAGATAGTAAAATAATAATAATACAGGTCATTCCCGTTATAAGGACACTCATGGGACAAGCAAAAAATGTCCGTATAACGAGATGTTCTTATAACGGGAGTTCATATAAAATCACATGACTTGAAAAATGATTATAAAATTAATTTATTTTAAAATCAACAACAATTTAGCAAAAGTTTTAAAAGGTTTAGAAAAAAACGTTTTTAAAAATTTTCAAAAATTTTCAGTGTAAGTATTGGATAATTCATAATTCTTTTATAGTCTTGTTTGGAAACGTCATCAAAAAAAAAACAATTGTGAATAAATTTCTTTATTGTCAAAAATGTAAAATATTTCATTACTGTAATTATTTCATCACCAACCCTCATTCAGTGATCAATATCATATGACAAGAGCTCCAAAGAGGAAGTTTTTACCCACCTTACAATAGCTTTTCACTTGTCTAAAGCCTTGCAACCAGTTTTCACCTTACCTGTGGAAAAAATTCCATAGTCATGGAGAATGTGAAAACACTTATTGACTTGTTTGAGGTAGGAAAATTAATTAAATCTGGCACCTGTGACCAATATCATCAGATTTATGAATATGGTTTATAAGGAATTATACAATTGAGAAGGAATTTATTTTTTTGATATCCCAACAAAACCCAGCCCAAAGGAGGGTAGAATTATTGATTTTTGCAAATCCCAAAGATCTGGGTTAATATTGTTTCGAAATCATTCCTTAAAAGTTTCATGTGATGCAATTGTTCTTTGTCAATAATAACATCAAATATCATCATAAACATTGTAACGGATATGTACTGTATGTACATGAGGAAACACTGGAACTTTGAAAATGAAATTTTATTATTATTTCTTTGTAATATAAGTTTTTAAGCATTTTATATTTTTTGTTTCTTTAGAATAGCCAGATTATGAATTATAAATTAATTTTTACAACATAAAAGATATTAAAGATTGTCTAAGATTACTATATTTATTAAAATACCATTCCATCTAATTAAATAACTGATCTTTCTGTCTGTTCCGCTCTCGGATTAGCTGCTTTGCTAATAAAGTCATAGTTTCTTCCGGAAAATAAATAATTGCGTTACAGCCTGTCATAATATTACATTTTAAATTAAACTCATAAAGGTCTACTGTAAAGATCTGTTATCTCTATCATATTTGATGAAGGAGGTCTTCTTATGGACTAAAGCATATTCTATTAACAGCATGTGTATGTTCTTCAATTTTTTGATCCATTATTTAAAGAGAAAAGATTTTTTGATAAAGTAATATATACACATATAAACTTCTAATAAAACAATCTTCTTATCAATCTTTGATGTACCACTTTCTATACCCCAAATAACAATTGGACTATTTGAAGCAATAGTAGCTATCTCGTAAATCAATCAAATGGTAAAAAACATACACACTCTCTCTGCATACTTTTTTCTTATAAACATATAATACTAACCATTTAACATCATTACTATTTAATATATTTTCAACCCTAAATTTTTAATTCTTTTGTAATCTCAATATTATCTGATAGATTCAAACTTTCAACACTATATAAATTTATTAGTAAGCTTCGAGTGAAAATTATTTTTTAAAATTTTTGAATTTGTTAATACACAATGGCAACAGCACGAGTTTGATCAAGTGAAGCTGATAAAGTTGTATTAAAATCTTTAGATCCTTTAAATGACAGTGATTCCCCTTTGATTTGACTAGTTGTTGTGTCGATTAGAATGTCACCACTATTTCTAGTAGTAAAACCAGTGTTACAATTGAAAACAGAGTCAACATTGTTGCTTCCATTAAGTAAAAGGTCAGTATTCTAACACCCATGTTGAAGTCATAGTATTAGTGTTTGAAGTAGTAGAACGTACTTCTGTAAGTCAATTTGGAATAATTTTTGTCATTAACAAATAGTAACTTCAAAAGCGAGGAAGTTTAGTTATAGAATTCTTCAGTAACGTCACTATTATTAAGTAAAAATGAACAGTATACAATATGTATGTAGGAATGAGAGCTTTATTTGTAAAGTAGTGAAAAGAATTCAAGTTTTTTTCGCAATTTTATTAGAAACGTTCTTTTGTTAAAAAAAACATTTAGTGTAGGGTTTTTGATTAATGAAATATTTTTGCTGAAAATTTCAAAATTTTATTTACTAGAGACCTTCATTGTAATGATTTCTACTATTGCTTTATGTGTTAGACCCAGATCACCTAATTGAGGTAATTATTTTGTAAAAACAAAGACCCAATAATTTGGAGATAAACTCAAATATTTATGTAATAAATAGAAAGTTGTTATTATTAAAAATACAATAAAAAGTGTGTAATCATCTAAAACTTTTTTTCTTTTCTTTATATCAATTCGGATTTGGAGATAAATTTTTATTGCTTATATTTATTTGTTATTATTATTAAAAATATAATAAATCATCTAAAAACTTTTTTTTTGGTACGATTCGGAGATAAATTTTATTGCTTATATGTTGTAATTCAAAAAAATTTTTTTTAATATTGATTTGGAGATAAATTTTTATCGCGATCATCTAATTGACGTAATTATTTTTAATGATTATTATTATGTTGACTAATTTATTTCTTTTTAATATATTAATATTGCGTCATCGTTAATAGAATTTTAATATAAATAGATACGGTGAATTTTCTCTAGTAGTTATAAAAAAAATTATATATTTTCCCACAAATTTTTTTCTCTAAAAAAACCAACGGCGAGAAAAAACTTTTTCATCTTCTTTTTCAATAAATTTATTATTTAAATAAAAAAAAAAGAAAACCAAAAACAATGCAGCAGATTCCCTTGTAAGTATGAGTAAGAGAAAGATTTAAAACTTGGAATAATTATTTTAAAGAGTTTTTCCAGTTTATCAAATAACTTGAATTCTATTATTTTCTACTTTTTTTATTCAATATTAAAAGATAATAAGTAAATTGCACTCTCATCAAACGGGTAGAATTGATTGTTGATGATCTCCAACCCATATGGTGAAAAGATGTTAGAAGATTCTTCATCTTGCATACAGTTGCAAAGGAAAAAATTTTTTTTCAGGTAATTTTCAGGAATTTTTTTAAAGGAAGATAATTTTTTTAAATTTTAAATCGGTAAGAAACTAATTTTAAAAAAATACGCACCAATTATTAAAAAACGAAATTATTTATTAATTCTTCAATTTTTTTATCCCAAAAGTAAAATATGAACATAATAATTAACAACAACAACAACAACAACAACAACAACAACAACAACATTCTTTAACCCGAACTCTTCGCCCTCGTCCCCCCCCCCGCGACCATTCCTACACGTCATCCTCCACTAACACCCGTCCGACAGCTTGTGGGCCTAAATATTACAAACATAAATCAAATTCAACAACAACAGCAACAACAACAACCATCATCACGTACACTTCGCACTCGTCCCTCGTACTCGCCCGTCCCCTATTAACACCTGTCCGACAGCTTGTGGGCGTAAATATTACAAACATAAACCAAATTCAGCAACAACAACAATTACAACAACTCCAGCAACAACAGCAAATTAATATTATTATCCAACGGCTGGGAGATGTGCCGCTGGCACAAATTTACTTAATCATTTTTATTTTCATTATCTATCATCGTTAAATTAAATAAACAACAACAGCAACAACAACAACAACAGCAAATCAATTTTCTTTTACAACGGCTGGCAGATGTGCCACTGGCACAAATTTATCTAATAATTTTTATTTTTATTATTTCAATGTTTATCTACCACCGTTGAAAAAATAAAAAAAACCATTTTATTATATTTTTATTATCAAGAATGCTAAACCCGCAAAGGATTTTTGCAAAGGATTTTTGCAAAATATTTGTAAACTCCCGTGACTTGCACATGTATGTATTTACATTTTTACCAAAATATACATTGAATTTTGCTATTTACTAAAAATAAGAATGATTCGGGATGTTAAACCCATACAACCCATACATATGCGCTGATTTTGTTTGAACCTCAAAATTTAATACAGTATGATCATAACATTATGAATACTTTATACTAACAAAAACCCATTAGCCATTGGTTTGACGGGCTTTTGAATAGTAAAATAGTTTTTTTGGCAGAGCAAATAAATTTTTTTAGGTTAATTATCATTCATTCTATTGACACATTAAAAATACTCGTGTTTAGAATTGCTGCTTCACATTATTGCTGGTTTCATAATTTTCTTCAAAATCTGTAGAATCATCTGATAATTCTGAATGTCGAAATGATTCTTCATTTACTATTTTAATGGAGTGTGACCACACATCAGACACAGGACGTTACCTAATATAATTTTATGTTCATTTTGTAGGGTTTTCACTTGTAAAATTTACAAAGACTTTAAAGCAATAACCATTAAACATATTTTGGTCTTTGAGAGACCTCTAAGAATTATAAGTATAGAAATGTAATCATCACTATTAGCTGAAAATTTTTTCATATATTTATTAAGAAAAATAGAAATTTAAAGCAAACATAATATATAGTGTTGATTAATTAATTAAAGATGTAACTTGTTATAATCAGTATTGTATTTTAATATCCTTATGTAATAAAATAATACTCAAAGTATATTATCTTTTGCATAAACTTGGCAGGCTTCTAGCAGTACATTCCTGGTGGTCAAGGTCCTCTTGTAGAATAATAACCACGAAATCTTTTGGGTACAAGTGGTAACATTTTCCTTAACTTCTTAGTCATTTCATGTGAAATATGCTCTTCTGGTGTCATCTCATCTTCAAAATCATCCAAGTTGGCAATATCTTCATCATAACTATCTTCAGTCCTTGGATCTTTAATTCGTGCTCTTTTCTCAAAAAAAGGGAAATAATTTTGGATTCTTATTTGGTCATGATTATTTGTTAATTGGTCAGGTTTCAATAGAGCATGTGCAAAAGCTGCTGCTTGATAATTGTGTCAAATTTAGTGCCATAAACAATTAATGTCAATATTGAAGTCTGAGAGGATGCAGCAGGTAAGGTTTCATGGTGAAAATAAGTGAGCCAAAAGAAAGTGTAGGCTTTTTGAAAATTTGTCAGCAATACTACTGGTTTTTCTGAAGAACTTGCATTTTGCAGCAAATAATTCACCAATAGCCTGATTCTCATCACTAGCTGTGACTTCCTTTAAAGACATATTATGATGCTAATATGAATGCTAAATATATCAGAAATTCTTCATCAGTTCAATTGCTTACCTTCTTTAACTCAAAGAATAATTTTACTACATCTTGTTCATGAAGTGCTTTAGGTTTAAAAACAATCACATCTGCTGTGCTATGAGCAATTCCAGTATTCCAATAGTGTTTATTTGTATGTATATCTTTTACTACATATCTTGCAAGAAAGTCAGATCCAAGGAAGACATCTTGAATATAATTGGTGTATTGAGTTGCATGAGAGTCCTGTTGTGTCAATTGGCTGTTTCTGGCGCAGAACATGAATTTTCTGACCCAAATTTATTCAGTTTATAGCTACAAGGCCTTCCAGAAGCTTATTTTCATGGATTTCAATATCTGTTTTCTGTATATCCACATGGCCCTGTAAGCATAGATTTAATCTGTTTTTATACTACTCAGCTTTCCAATAAAAAACAGGCTGACAAAGGAATAGATATGAATGTAATGAATATCTATGAACTGAGGAAGCCCGGCATAGAAAGCCAAATACTATATCAATTTTACACTACTCAGCTTTCCAATAAAAAACAGGTGGACAAAGGAATAGATATGAATGTAATGAATATCTATGAACTGAGGAAGCCTGGCATAGAAAGCCAAATAGAATAACAATTTACTATGTGATGAAAGAAAAATTTTTTGCCAGCTAATAAAATTTTCGAATTAAAGTTTCTGCAATCTATATAAAAATAAAACAAAAATGTTATCTTATATTACCCAAACTTTTAACTATATTGCTAAAGTAATTTCTTATCTAGATGAGAGCAAAGACCCATTTGAGGCAGGAGATCTAGTAGAGGTCAGAGAAGAAATTGAGTATGTTGAAACACCAAAGTTAACTACTCAAAAGAGACCAAGACCTAAAGCTATTTCATCTGGGAAATATGCTAAAAATAAGGGAGAAAAGGTTCCAGACTGGAGAAGGTGCATTATCCCAAAATACAATGAAATAAAGAACTGAAATTTAAATCCTGAGAGCAAGTATTACACTACTGCTAGAATTAATGATTTTATAAAGGAAATTGAAAAGATCGAAGCAGAAATCAATCAAGATTGAAATAATATCTATAACTCATAATTATTAAAAGTAAACATGACCGATTTTTGAGTAGTACAATTTAATTTGTTAGACTATTTCAAAGGTTTGTCTGCATGGTTGCTTCCAATTTCTTAAATTCAAACCATTTGTTAACAAAACAACTGTTGGTAAAGTGATTGTTGACAAAATGAATCAAACCAACATTTATTTATTTTTACGTTATCAAATTCACAATTTTGATTGGTCAATCAACAATTGCACAGGTTAAAATTTTGTGCCTGTTCTTATTCCTTCATTCAAACAAATAATTGTTTTTTGTGTTAATGCTTAGTAAATGTTCTGGTCTTGGGGTAATTCTTGTTATTTTTAATGATTTTGGAACAATTTTAATAAAACTCACAAGACATCTGGTGTGATGCTAATTTATTCCTTTTTAATATATTGCGTCATTTTTAAAATTATAAAAAAAATTATATATTTTCCCACAAATTTTTTTCTCTAAAAAAAAACCAATGGCGAGAAAAAACTTGTTCATTTTCTTTTGCTAAATTAATAAAAAAAATTATTATTTAAATGGACAAGATAATAATAAAAAAAGAAAATCAAAAACAATGCAGCAGATTCCCTTGTAGGTATGAGTAAAAGAAAGATTTAAAACTTGGAATAATTATTTTCTAGTTTATCTAATAACTTGAATTCTATTATTTTCTACCTTTTTTTATTCAATGCTAAAAAGATAATAAGTAAATTGCACTCTCATCAAATGGGCAGAATTGATTGTTGATGATCTCCAATCCAGATGGTGAAAAGATGTTAGATTTTTCATCTTGCATACAGTTGCAAAGGAAAAATTTTTTTTCAGGTAATTTTCAGGATTTTTTTAAAGGAAAGTATCATGTGCCTAAATTTATTTTTAAATTCAAATTTAATGTTTAAAGCCTGCAAATTTCTTTATTGTCATTATAGATTTTTGACAAAGTAAATATATATATACACATTTAAATTTATAATAAAAGAAATTTTTTATCAATATCTAAATATTATTTGTAGTAATAATTATAAGTCAATATTGTTTTTTTTAAAAATTAGTTTCTAACCTATTTAAAATTTAAATCTTCTTTTATTAATTCTTTGATTTTTTTGGCCCATTCAGTCATTATATAATTCTTCACTTAGAAAAATAAAAATGAATAACTTTATTTACATAAACCAACAGCAACAGCAACAGCAACAACAACAACAACAACAACCACCACCACCTTCACTACAAACTCATCATCCCTGTCCGCCAACTTTGCAACAAATAATTCATAATATACAGCAACAACAACAACAGCAACAACAACAACAATTACAACAACAATTACAGCAATTACAACAACAACTACTATTATTACAACAACAGCAACAACTTGAACAACAACAACAACAACTACTACAACAGCAACAGAAACAACAACAGCAACAACAGCAAATTAATTACATTAACCAGCGATTAGCCGAAGTGCCGCTGGCACAAATTTATATCATTCTTTTAATATTTATTATTTCAATGTTTATCTACCATAGATAAATTGAATAAAAAAATATTTTTATTATATTTTTATCATCAAGAATGTTAAACCCACAAAGGATTTTTGCAAAAGATTTGTAAACCACATGTATTTCATATGTATATATTTACATTTTTATCAAAATATACATTGAATTTTGTTATTTACCAAAAATAAAAATAAGAATGATTTGGGCATTAACAACCCATACATATTGATATATTATTATTAGTTGTGGGACATTGCAGATCAAATGTCAAATAAAATTATTGTCCACTTTAAAAAAAAAATCACCATTTTTCATATAGCAAGCGATTTTCAACCATAATAAAAATTTTTAGATTAGAACTTTATAACAACAGTTAAAAGAAAAAGCTAGCTTAAATATTGATATTATTCTATGCTAGGTTAGAAGTGTTTCTTTTCTTTGTGCTTTTTCTTCTAACTAGTACATATGTGTTGCCAGAATTAGACTCTGATACAGATGTTTTTACATATGGTGCAGATCATTAGTTGCTTATAGTAATGATTGGTCAACTTCAAAATACTAAAACAAAAAAAAATTATATCATTTTAAAAAATTTAACCAATAAGTTTTATTGTTTATGACTCAAGCTTCAAAACTTATCGGCTGGTTTTTCCTTAAACTGAAAATTGGCTGAGCCTTAGCATTTTGAAAACTCCGAATTTTTTTATACATTTAAGAAATCAAGACTAAGTAAATTTTGTGTAACAACTTTTTTTTCATATTTGATTTATTTGACTTATTTATTTCCTTTTTTATTAATAAATAAAAGTTAAAAGAAAATCATTACCAAATTTGGTCGTGAGATTCAAAATATTGTAACACGAAAATTATTGTTGCATAACTTACAATTTAATATGTATGAGACAAATTTTTTTTTAGATTAATAGACTCTTTTTAAAGCTGAATTGAATGGTGGTGGGTTTTTTAAAATACAATGTGTGGATCACATAATATTTCCAAAATTTTAACTTTTGGGTAGATGATCTGCACTGTATTTTGGATGAATCTCATAATTCCGGGTCAAATTAATTTTATTTCTACTTTTATTTATTATTTATTTTTTTTATTTTTATATTTATCATTTTCTATTATTACAGTCAGGGATCTTTCCAAATTTGGAATTTCCAAATATGTAATGATCGACGTGGCTAATGCAAAACTTGATCGACAATAAATGATTCCGAATTGATAATAAAACAAATTGATAATAAAACGAATTGATAATAAAAGAACAAATAAATAAAAATTTGTATTATGAATAGAAACTCTAATTAAAGAGTATCAAATGTTTACAAGAAAAACTATATATACATATAAAAATCAAAATTTTATTGTCTATTATGAACAAAAGTGATTAATATAATTAATAATAATATGGATTTGTTGATGGTGGACAAAATGAAGTTGTTATTATCCATTATGTAAAGAGAAAATTTTATTATTATTATTAGATAAACATTTATAAATTCCTTTGGTTTAAGTGAATGCTACATCTAAAAATAATTTTAGAGAGAAATAAATCATGATCAATTAAATTTTTAACGATAATCAAATTTTTGGTTGGCAAAAATTTAGAATTAAATAATCAATAAATTATACATTGGATGATACTTATCTTATTATTACACAACACATGATTCAATTGCCTTCTACAGTTTCCTTTCAAATCATCTCTTCTACTTCATCATTGTCAGCTCCATCATGGATATCTTTAACTTGTTGCAAAATCAACAGTAATTCTTCTTTCTTTTTTGATGCTAGTCCTTTAAACTGTGGGTGATTGGTTTCATTTAATGATCCAATTAATGATTGAATTATCAATATTAATTCCCTTTTTGACATTAAATTTTCTGATGATTGCTTTTCTTCTTCTTCAAGAGTAATTGGTATGATGCGTGTAGTTCTTCTAGATGGTTTTATTGAACCTAGTTTTTCTTTAATGAAATCTATTCAATGAGCTTTAGCTGTTGAGCTAAATGATTTCATTGCCTCACTTAATTTATTTTTGTCCAAACTTTCAAAGGCACGATTAGGTTCAAATGGATCCAAGAAACCAATTTTTCTTAATTCTACTCTAAAGCGCTGTGATTCTTTTTCAAAGCCTGGACGTGAACAAGAACCTGTACTTTCATGATCTGTATAACCAATTGTAGAAAATAATTTCTTTCGAAGCTAGTGGTAAAAAAATTTTAAGTTAAAAAAATTTTGATTTTTACAATACAAATAATATTAATGATTACCATCAAAAACTTAATACAATTCCTAGCAGCAATCTCCCAATGTTTTTGTGTAGGAACAGGTGGTACAAGTGCTTTTAATGCTTTATTCACTTCTTCAAGTATAGCATCTAAACCCTGGTGTTGAGATATCCATCCAGACCTGGACACAACAGAATTTTGCTCAATGATCTGACGAATTTCAGGACAAAGGCGTAATTGTTGTTCTTCATCAGCAACCTCAATTGATTGATAAATAGGGTGTCTTCTTGCTGACCAAATTGGAGCAAAAATTCTTCATGCTGCTGTTTTAAGAAGAGGTTGTTTGTTCCTTATTCCAGTACGATAGTTGATTATAGCTTGTAGATACCAAAAGATCTTAAAAATTGATGTGTTTATTAGCATTTATTTATAAAATTATTATC